AAAGAAAATGTGTAGCTTCTAGTTTACAAGGGCTGACCTTAGGTTTTTTTAAAATGGATGATTCATGATAAATCAAACTTTGATCAAAGCAGATGAGTTTTATGATCGTGCTGTGTTGAATCCAGAGATTATGTGTGTTCAGACTTTAGTTTATATTGATCTAAATCGAAGTGACTTGATAGATTTGAAATTATTTCTGCTAAATTAAATCCAAATTTCTTTCTTGTACAAAAAGTAGCTTGTGTATTGAATCAGATTTGTCTAGGAAACTTTCAGAATGCGCTTTATATTCTCACATATGCATGAAAATTGTTTAAATGTGTGCACAACGCGATATTTGACACAGTAGAAATAGTTTGGAAGCCGTCCCAGAAGATCACACAACAAAAATGTGACTTTTTCTACTGAAAAATGAAGGCACAAAGTAAAGATTCACGGGCCAAATGTAGTATTTATTCACAAATACTTGAGTATAATCTGTCATGTGTGTAGATGATCTGCAGATTTAAGGTGGAAATGAGTCTAAACTGACCCCTGATAGGAGTTTTGTTTGGTCTCAAAGCTCTGTGATGCTGAGCTTGATTTGTTCGACAGATTTGCCTCTGAGCTATTTCGATTTTGTATTTCGATTTGTGTTATTTTTTTTCTCCTGTTGGGTGCCGGACAGATGGATCAGCTTTCGGCTTGGGCCTTATTTTACAAATACACCTTTGTCCACCGGCCCAAAGGAATAGAAGCCCAGTTTTTGTGTTGGAAAAGGTTGTGCGATGACATAAAAACTGCAAACCGTATCGTCGAACATGCATAAAGAGCGTGAATCCTGGCGACGTGCGGAGAAAAAGCCAAGTTATCCCTCTGATTATTTACATTACTCAGATGGAAAGTTTTGACCAAACGTCATTAAAAAAAAAAAAAAAAAAGTGTCCCCTCACTCGCACAGCGTCGCATGATTTTGTACATCCGGTCTGCCCTGACCTTTGACCTCCTGCTGGGAGCCGTGTCATGGAAATTGTTCTTGGGGGGGTTAACCCCTGATAACGTCGGTCTCAAGACACTGCAGTTTCCCATGGACACAAAATCAACCAGTGAATGACTCCCGATTGTGTTTTTTTGTACCCAAGATGTTTTTTTTTTTGTAACACTCGCACTTTGATTCTCTGAGGTGTTTTACCCCCTCTTTTCCTGTCCCCGTTTTTCATAAATCAGTTTTAAAAAAAAGACAAATCTGCGTGTTTGTTTTCTGTGTGTGTCAGTGTTTGAAGTTGCTTCATAAAGTAAACAGGATTTATGGAAAATGTGATAAGATGAGATGATTTTCTCCATCGCGGCCCCGGCCGAGGCCTGAAATCAAATTAGCGTCCTCAGTTGGTCATTTTCTCATCAGATATCAAGTGTTTTGTTTTGTTTTTATCGCTAAAAAACGATGTAATGTTTTATTTGGACAGAATTCCTCGGCTCAGACTTTAGTTAAAGGCAACACAAAGATCATCTAATTGTGTTTTTGACCAAAAGTAAAACAGTTATTACAAGATTAAGAGCCGGGGATGAACTCTGGGGAGTGTTTGCCTCTTCTTTTTTTTTTTACGCACAGAGGAAGTTCGGGTTTGGACAATTTCAAACAACTTTCGTGCGCAATTGGGGACCCCTATTTTTTTTTCTTTTTTCTTTCCCGGGGAGGTTGGCAGGGGCGTGGTGTGACTCGGGACAGGCTGATGACTCTGTGGATTCACTCATGCATGGCCACACAATGTGACAGTCCAGACATGGCTGGAAACGGGAGGCTGCTCCGTTATTCCGAGCCCCATCTTCCACCCCGGGCCGCCTCCAAACACTAAAAAAAAAA